TCTTAGCCTAACCCTCTAGCTAGCCCTATTTGAGAACTTTGTTCTCAAATTTTAACCCTACATCATGCAGTCCAAGTGCCTCTACTGCTGGTGACATCCACTCTTGGGATTCAGCACAACCTTCAGCAAATTGATCTGAAAGGAGGGATATTGCCACCTTCCCACACGCTCTCCTGGCTGCACAGTCCCACCCCTCATGGGTAATGATGTTGGCACTTGTCTGAGCCTCACAGGAACCTGTTCAGATTGCAAGGCAATAGAAAGTTAACTCTACTCAAAAGTGACTTGTTTTCACGCAGCGATGGGAATGCTACAGCCAGTGGAATGCCCTGCTGGGAATGGGAGGTGGGATTAATTGTTTTTCAGGGGCTCGGCGATTGGATCTGTTCTGCTAAACATGGTGAGATAAGTCCTCCAACTCTTGATGGATGGCTGAGTTGGACACACTCTACAGCAATGATGCAAGACTGCCTTTTTCAGATCTCCTTGAGATTTTCATAATGAAAGGCTCCCTCTCAACACAGAATGTCATTAATCAAGCACAAATTATACCAGCTATCCCAGGACCCAAACAACACTACTGAAGCCCTCTGGGACACAGCTTGTTAGATTGCCACCTTGCTAGGAAACAGCTCAATGAGGGTAAAGGTCCTACAGCGCTAGAAAGCACAAGCTGGCTGTTGCTCCAGAGGCGGACAAGTATGTGCCCAAGCCAAGAACTTGTAAGCACACCACAGCCTCAAGGCACACATTAAAGCCACAAGAAAAAAAAAAAAAATAGTCTAACCTGGTTGTGAGCACTCTCACTGTATTCCCTCAGCAGGACTAGCCTGAAAGTGGGATGTGGGAGATGGAATTTACAGTGATAAATGGGACTTTCCATTTGCTTTGTGAGCATTTTGGAAAAGTCCCCACTCTCAGGTCTATAACTGCCTGTCTAAAATCTTTCCGTTGTAGACCTGGTCAAACTAAGCACTTGTAGTAAATTATTCAATGATATAATTTCTTTTCCTTGCAAGTTGCTTGTAAACTTGTCTTGATTTCTGCAGATGTACTTTGCATTCAACGTATTCACCAAACAACTTCTGCCAGCGAGTTTCAGTGCAGAATCTGTTTTCCAGAATGATTATTTTATCTATTTACTCCTTCTACTTTGGGTGTATGAATGAATCTCTAAATGCTCCTGTGCCAGAGAATTGCAAATTTATAAGCCAAAGAGAAAACTAAGAAAAGAAGGAAATAACAAAGAACATATAGTCTCTTTTGCAACGTAAATATGGATGATATTCATCCCGTGAACATTCTTTAAACATTACACCCATTTGTACAGAACATAACACCCATTCACAAATAGAAAGATACAGAAATACAAACCTAATAAAACTCAGGCACCATTTCGAATCAATCCCCCTCTTTGGTCCATTTTGCAATATTCATCTGGGGCTCTGACAGCTTTAGCTGTAATGTGTGAGTGTTACTGATTTCAGCTGTCTGCACACTTTTGCCTGGTTATTGCTGCTCTGGTGGGAGTGGTAGAACGGATGTTGTCCTAGTTGCTCCCATTCAAGGTCTGGTACATTAGCTTAAATCATCAGTGAAACAGGGTTGTGTTAAGATGCCAGATTGTGAACTGCAGCAGCTGAGGTGCACAGTTAAGCAGATTTAATGGCTCTTTCGCCACTGAGAAGAGTCGTCCTGTATGGCTCCCTCCTCCTCCACCCCCTCTGCAAATCTCTGTGGAAAGGGAGGTGGTGAGAGACAAGGGTTATAATAGCATGAAGTAGTGCAGATCAGTCAGCCAGAGCATACCTATCAAAGCCATTATTCTAATATAATTTCTAAACCTGTATTTCTTGAATTAAAAAGGGATAGCTATCTTTGTTTTTCGTTCTTCTTTTTGTTTTTAATTTGCTTCTGCCTCAAATGTGCTTTTCCCATCCTAGCTAGCTCAGGGTATACTCTTCTGTATCTCACCAGATTACTGGTCTATCTGATTTGGTTTCTTGTCAATGCAGGTGCTTTGTAGGGGCAGATGAAACTTTCACTTGAAAGTTATAGAGATGTCTAGCAAGAAAAATCCAAAATTCCAAGTAAAGTCTTATCTTTTAATAGATAAACCAATCTTCCTAGTTCAAAAATTTTAATTCAAGTTAAGGTTTTGCCTTTTGTCTTAGCACCTGTCTGACTGGTGTAGATCTGGTGGGACTGTTCTACTGCCTTGTGGGTTTTTTTCTGTTTCTGCATCATTTCCTTTAAGCACCTCTCTGTGCGCAATTTGAGGTTTTCTTAGCTTTCCTAGAAGTCAGAACTGTGAAAGAGAGTCCATTGAAACACACTGAGCAAGAGAATTTTTGTGAGGGAGGAAGTATTAATGTGAGCTTGTTCTTGCTGTTAAAAAGTGGTCCTAGCTCTCGCTCATGGACAATTGGTCTATTATCTTTTCTAATGCAAAATATCACTTGTGTTCTGGTCACTTACTGTGCTAGTGCCTGTAGGGAGCTGGAAAGGGTATTTATTTTTATCCTGCTGTTAGCCTATGGGATCTGAAAGTACCTCTTTTAGCTTGCATAACTGTAAATATTGTTATTGGTCATAATATTTTCCTGACCTCTTCTCAATGCTGTCTCCAATATTTGGCGTTCTGGCCTGCTTCGGCAGAAGGTAAATTCCACATGCTGACTACATGCTGAGTGAAGGAGTGGCTCCTGTTATAGAAGCTTTTTAACTTTGCTCAGTGAACTCCTGTTCTCCTTTTTTGGGATGAGCCAAAAAATCAGGCGCTCATCAGTTTGCCTTAAAGTCCTCTGGCTCTTTCCTATGTCAGGGTAAAGGTTCATATCTTTTTCATTCTCTCGCTAGCTGTCAAAATTGGACATGTAAAAGTTGTATTAAAAATCCTAGTAGTGCTGTGCGACTGCTTTGGTCACAGAACCCGCTCTCCATAAATAAAACCTCTGATTTCTGTATTGTGCTGCGGTTAATTCCCATGGCTGTTTGTGCGGCTCTGTGCAGGAGCCCTTTCCGGGCAGAACTCTCAGAAGACACCTGCTCCATGGTCAGGGACTCAGCAGAGGCTTTGAAATGTGCCTTCAACTGAGCAACTTTTTTCCTTCTTCTCCTATTGCTCATTTCTTCCCTCATCTCCCACTTCTCAGGTCATGTTACACCAGGATCCTCCACTTGCCTCAGCTCTGTGGTACTGTGTAATGCTCCTTCCCACCCCTTCCAGCACGTGTATTTCTTGGTTATAAGCATGCCGGCATCTGTGTGTGTTTGCCTATACTTTATATTTTCTAGTGGATTTGTGAAGTCCCACAAGGAAAGTGCCACAAGGAAAACTTCCTTGGATGATTTTTCTTGGGGGAATCTGTGTAGAGGTGGAGGGAAAAGACCCCACACCTTCCTGTACCAGAAACATATATATGCTCTTTTAGTATTTTATAACTCAAGGACCCCACACCTTCCTGTACCAGAAACATATATATGCTCTTTTAGTATTTTATAACTCAAGGAACTCTGAGGCTTATTCACTTTTGCTAAGTATCTTAACTTTTTACTGAAGATACTGAAGATCATTTTGGGCTCTTCATTTAAGCTCAGGATTGGTTGAGAAAGAAAAATCTGATTGCTGGTAAATGCAAAATCCATGTAAAAATGTAAATTTTTCAAAAGCTTATGAGCATCTTATTCAGTGGAGTTGATTCTTTCACCTATGAAAACTTGAGTACAAATCCAACATAGACCTAAAACTTTTATTTTGTGGAAAGGTTTAAAATATGAGGAATTACCTGGAGTTTATATTAAAGATAATTTTCCTGTCCCCTCTGCTTTCCATCTCCAATTCCTGCGCTACAGATTTCTGTATATTTTCCAACTAATTCTAGGAAAGCATAGCTTCTCTTTCTTTTCATCCTGAACAGCAACCACTTTCACCAACTGCCAAAGCTACCTATGTATTTTTCTTGGTCATCCTGTCTCTTAGGATGGAACACAACTGTTAGTTAGGAACACAACAGTTCCAGTGTCTTAAAAAATGTGCCATGTACATGGCACGTATCTCAGCTGAGGTAACCCTACCACTTTCTCCTCATGAGCTGCAGGATCAGGAAGCCTAGCTCTTTCCTTCTAGTCTACTTACCTCTGGGATAATTATCCTGATTATTTCCTAGGGCACAAATCTTTCCATTTCAGTTTCTTTGAAAATGGGCCCTACTTTTGCACCTGAAGACAGTTAAGACCATTACGAAGAGAGAAAAAAATCAGCTGCCAGATTTGGATGGTGGTGCTTACTTCCCCTTTGCCAGAACTGTCTGAAGTGCAGATCTGGATTTGAAATTCTGACGTCTGGTGGGTGCCTGTGATCTGGGCATCTGATTCCACTTCATCTCTAGCAGTTTCTCTTTCCCAGCCCTTGGTAGTTGCCCTATCCTAGAGCACATGCTGAGTGCAAGAAACACCCTTCTCAAAAAACACAAGCACTCAGAAGAGGAACTTGGAGAACTGAAAGAGCTTTATCAAAAGTTTTGTTTCTATATAAACCCTGCATAGGAAACCCTGGCCTCTGCGCACCATCAGCATTTGCTGTATTTATTTCTTCTCCTCTTTCCAAGTTTGGAAGAGTTTTTTGCCAAACAGAGAGGGGCTTTGTGAGATGAGGAGCAGCTCAGATTTTTTGTAGCTCATAAAGTCTTTGCTGCCTCCTTCTGAGAGTCCAGTGCTGACTCTTGCCCCTACTGTCCTCTTTCTCCCCAAATCACTCTCTTCTGAGTAATTCCCCTCTTATTGCCCTGTCCCACTTAGGGAAAGGCTCCTAACAGCTCCTGGTAGAAGAGGACAGAGATCCCATCACCAGATTTTCTTCAAAGGCAGAGAGTGGAAAGAAACAGCGCTGAGTTCTCAAGTGAAACTGCCTGCCAAAGCTGGGGCGCGAGTGATCGGAGCCGTGGGGATCTTCCCTCCCGCGTTCCCCTCCCGCGGGCATTCCCCCGCGTGGGACTCACTTGGAGGTTGATGCTCTCGCTCTCTGAGGCCATCCTCGGCTCTCTCCCTCGGCGGACGGCGCAAGCAGCGGGGCCCTCTGCACTCCGGGAGCCTCTCCCGTCGCTGGAGCGGGAAGCGCAGATGCTGGAAACAGCCCGCTATTCACGGGGCGCGCG